CTGAGTCATTATCTGCAAACATTGCTGCTGGAAGTTTGGCTTCTCATCTGTGTTCCTACACCCACACATTCCATTGGCAACAAAAGAGGGATTGCTGGCCCTGAGCCAACGTAGAGACACAAGAGGCACGTGTGAGTGGTGACTGTTTCTTTTGGAAAGAGAATGGCTAACTCACCACAGTTTGTTCCATTTGATCCTGAAACACAGACGTGGGGTTCTTATCTAATCCTTTTTGACTGTATATTGGAAGCTAATGACTATACAAATATCACAGACAATCGTAAACGAGCACTTTTTTTGAGCATTTGTGGAAAAGAAGTGTTTGAGACAGCGAGGGCCCTCATTGCGCCCCAACCCCTGCAGACAGTTCCTTGTGACATATTATTAAGCAAATTGAGGGAACATTATGCTCCTCGACCATCTTGCATTGCTAGAAGACATACTTTTTACCATAGGGACCAGGCAGAGGGTGAGTCTATCAGTTGTTATATGGCAGCCCTCAGGAAAGCAGCTATCTATTGTGAATTTAGCAACTTAGATGAAGCCCTTAGAGACAGATTGGTCTGTGGGGTTTTGGATGTTCGGTTACAGAGATTATTATTGGTGAAACCAACGTTAACACTACAGACAGCAGTAGAGGAGGCACAAGCCACTGAATCATTGAATAGATTGACGGAAGAGATACAGAAGTCAGGCAGCCTCCTGGTGTCTAGAAGGGGGGAAACCATCCATCGGGGAGAGGTGGAATTACGGGAGGACACTAAAGATGAGGGAAATAATCATGATGATGTCCATCAGTTGAGAGTGGCCAGCAAGGATCGCAGATGGACAGAGGATCGAAAGTTGTTCTCCTCGTGTATAGGGTGCGGCGGAAACCATTCAAGAGCTATGTGTCGCCATAAAAACACCATTTGTAGACGGTGTGGGAAGAAGAGTCACCTAGCACATCTTTGCCGTGCAGCGTTGCCTGACCCCCCAACTGGACAGATTTCAATTTGTAATGTGGGGGAAGGGTGATCTACTGAGGCTAAGAACCCCAGAGAATGAGTGTTTTACTATTAACACGGACGCTTGTCGTTCACCAGAGAGGGTGAGCAACCAAACTGGGATTCCAGGAACTAGTAAAATTTACATTACTGTCCTTATTGCAGGATCTCACTGCTGGATGGAAGTGGATATAGGGTTGGCAACAACAATTGTATCCTGGCAGACTCTACAGAAATTGGTGCCATATGGAGCCAAGCGGAAGCTTATGTGTAGTCATATTTGTTTGAGAGATTATCAAGGAAATCAAGGAAATTATCAAGGAAATCAAGGAAATAACATCCCCCTTAAGGGTAGCGGAACGTTCCACATAGAATTTAAAGACTTCTCCGGGCCACTGAAATTGGTTGTTGTTAAAGGTGTACTGCCTAACCTCCTGGGACTGGATTGGTTTGACACTTTGGGGTTAGAAATTACCAGGGTTCATAAAATCCAGGGAGAAACCATCGGAGAATTGAGTAAAGCTTGTTTCCCTACTTCTGGTGGGCCCAAAAGGCCTGAAAATCAGCTGGCCAGCATGCGCATGCACGCCAGAGCTGAGCTGGTGTGCCCAGTGATATGACTATGTGTGCCACCTGTGGCACACGTGCCATAGGTTTGCCATCACAGGTCTAGTCTCATGATTTAGTCTAATCTGATTGAACTGGTTAAAGGAGCTGTGGTGCTGAGTTCTGGTGGCTCAGCAGACTAATTAACATCCACTTACATCTGCTGCCTGCAATTACTGCAAATTCAAATCTCACCAGGCTCAAGGTTGACTCAGCCTTCCATCCTTTCTAAGGTAGGTAAAATGAGGACCCAGATTGTGGGGGCAATAAACTGACTTTTTATAAATATACAAAAGTATGAAGGCTATTGCTTAACGCATTGTAAGCCGCCCTGAGTCTCCGGAGAAGGGCGGCATATAAATCAAATTTAAAAACAAAACAAAACTAAAATATCACCTCTGGACACAGATATTCCAGGGACGTGTCCTAAATGCAGGAGGAAGCCTCCTCCATACCAGTAGGTAGGTAGCAAGGAATTTTAATGTTTTCAGTGGCTAGTCTTAGCATATTGCAACATTTAGTATTTCAAGAATCACTTTGGTGAGTAAGAAGCAGTCAAGCTTTCCACAACTGGCCCCTTGAGGGAACACATAAACACTTAAATTGCAACTATGCCCATGGTCACAGAGGTTTCTTATAGAGAACCCACTGTGATCAATTCTCCCTTTATGATTAACAAAATGATGGTGATTTATTCTATTTGCAGCAAATCCCCTGGAATTCCCCCACTCAGAAACCAAAGTGAGAATACTTAGTAATTCCCCATCTACAGAATTTAACAAATATTTGGTAACTTTTCTTATAAAAATCCTGAAAAACAACTCCAAGCATGTCAGATGGGATTTAGGTAGTCAGGAGCTATGGTGGCGTGACATTTTATGCTTCTCCCTCCCTTTTTGCTGCCGGGATGTTGGTGAGAGAATATTGCTTCTTCTAAGATAGCTCAGAGACCAAAGACAGTGACTCCTTTCTCAAAGAATATCGCAAGTCTCCCTCATGGTATGTGAAATGCTTCTGCTGGTGCTTTTCCTGATGTCCCATTTTCCCTGTGGGACATCAATGGTCAGATGTCAACTGAATGTGTTAGAAGGGGAAAAGTACATGTTAAATTTTTACCATCCAGGAGATTATCTGATTAGTGGAATCATATCTACATCCAGTACTGTAATTCAACCATATAGTTTCTTCATGCCTCCCACCAACAAGTTTGCAAGGTAATTACGGATGTGCACGGAATTCTGATTAATTGGTAATCTCACTTATCACGCATGGATTCCCACTTCCTAGTACAAAGTCACTGTGACCTTTTTTCCCTCCCTATGTGCCACTTATTCCACCTGACTTAAGGCATATCATGCACTTTGACAGGGGGGTTTTAACTGTTCTATAAAAGCAGTCATTAGCTCCTGAGAGTCATTGTTAATCTCACAAAATAGTTGTAGGGTAGATGGAGCTTGATTCTCCACAACATAGGTGATGCGAGGGACAGTCACCTACCTGAAGACAAAAAAAAAGAGGAGGTCCTTCGTACCATATCTTCTCATTACCTATAATGTTGTCCATGATACACTACAGTCTGTTAATCTCTCTCTCTCTCTCTCTCTCTCTCTTTCTCCCCCCTCTCTCTGTCTCTGTCTCTGTCTCTCTGTCTCACTTTGTCTCTCTCTCTGTCTCTCTGTCTCTGTCTCTGTCTCTCTCTCTCTCTCTTTCTCCCCCCACCCTCTCTCTTCCTTATCATCTTTATCATCTCCTGGACATAGTTCTCAACTGATGATTTAACTCATGAGCCAATAAACATCACAATATTTTCTACATTGCAGTGTACTGAGAGTGAGGATCTCGTAACCTATTAATCTCCTCAACCCTCCATCAAATGACCCAGATGAGATGACCCATCTCATCACTCTTCCATTGACTTCACACCAGATTTTTAACGGTCCAAAGTACATGTAAAAGATAGAAATATAACCAGTGGTGAAATCCAATTTTTTTACTACCAGTTCTGTGGGCATGGCTTGGTGGGTGTGCTGTGGCTTGGTGGGCGTGGCAGGGGAAGGATACTGCAAAATCTCCATTCCCACCCCACTCTGGGGCCAGCCAGAGGTGGTATTTGCCAGTTCTCTGAACTATTCAAAATTTGTGCTACCGGTTCTTCAAACTGCTCAAAATTTCCACTACCGGTTCCCCAGAACCTGTCAGAACCTGCTGAATTTCACCCCTGAATATAACTAATGATTCACCCCTGAATATAAGTAATGATTCACAGATTAAAAGGTTATCCAAAATAAGATATGCCTTTATGACCCGAAGGTAAAAATTCAAACAAAAAATGAAGACCTATTAATATATCTTATCTTGCAGTAAGTTTGTGAGTTTTGTTCATGTCCTGCCCTTTGTCTTTGCCATTCATGAGATCAACCAGAATCCAAGGCTCTTACCAAACATCACCCTGGGCTACAACATTTATGAGATCCTTTTCAATGCAAGAATAGCATACGATGCCATGATGGATTTGCTATCCATGGGACAGGAGAATGTCCCAAACTACAGTTGTGGAAGACAAAAGAATATGTTGGCTGTGCTTGAAGGGACTGATTCTGAGCTCTTCAGTCATGTTTCAAGCATGCTGGGCATCTACAAAATCCCTCAGGTATGAATGAAAGTTCAAGTTAGGTTTTTCCAAATAATATTTTGCCATTATGGACCTTAATAATTTTTTCTCCACTCTGGCATCAGTTTACATCATAGCTTTTGAAAGACAGACTGATTTTGCAGAGTTCCCTTTTTTACTGCTGAAATGGATTCAGACTTATCCAAGGAGAACTTTTCTGACAGTGGGAACAATCAACCAATGGAACGTGGTTTGCCTTTGGAAGTTGTGGGAGCTTCATCATTGGAAGCTTTCAAGAAGAGACTGGACTGCCATTTGTTAGAAATGGTGTAGGGTCTCCTGCTTGGGAAGGAGTTGGACTAGATGACTTACAAGGTATTGTGGCCTGTACGCAGCCTTTGTTTGGAAAAAAAAACTGATTTAATTTACTAAACTAAGGTTTGTACAGACTTTGTGTGTGCTGCGTTCTTTGGGGTCCATAGCTGGGGCAGAACACAAGGTCCTTTCCAACTCTGTCTATCTGTCTATCCATATATTAACTGTAGTGTTCTCAATGACACATGAAAAGCACACCTTTGCACTTAGAAATAACTTTAAATTAAGCACTCATATTTGTTCCTAAGAGCTAGATAGCCACTCGTCTTTTCTCTTTCATCTTAGATCAGCTATGGGGTCATCAGCCACATTCCTGAGCAGAAACGCCATTTTCCTTTTTTCTACCGGGTGAGTCCAAAGCAAGAACCTCCTCACTTGGCGATTGTCAAACTACTCCTGCATTTCCAATGGAAATGGATTGGCCTTGCTGCTCCAGACAATGAAAATGGAGAAAAGTTCAGAAGAACCTTTACGGTTGTGGCTACCAAGAAAGGGATTTGTGTTGCCTTCTCAGAAATCCTCCCTGTGATAAATAAACAGAAAACAAAGGACCTTCCTCAATATTTTAGCAACAGCCAAGTAAATGTCATTGTTTGTCAATTAGATTTTCAGGCCTCATTTGTATTAACAATAATAATACATGATATTGAAAAGACTAATGAAATGTTTGGGAGGAAAGTATGGATTACAACAGCTTTGACAGACATAAGTGTGAGATATTTTTATCGATTTGTTAATCTCCAGCATGAACACTTTTTGATATCCTTTTCAACCCAGACAAACCGAAGGACACGATCTTACGATTTAAATTCATATTTTTCCACTCTCAGAAAGTTTGTGAAGACAGCTTTTCAGCGTTCCTATTTGAGCCCTGGGCTGTCAAAGAGAATTTGGGAAAGATGCACAGAAAAAGAGAACTGGGAAATCCCACCTCACAATGTGGTTGCAGATATTTTGTCTGAGGACAGCCACAGTATTTCCACTGCAATCCAGGCTGTCTCCTCAGTGCTTCATGCTTTGTGTTCCTCTCACCTCAGTTGGAGAAGGATCCAGATCGGGGATCATCTGGTACCTCAGGTAGTACAGCCATGGCAGGTAAGATTTTCCTTCTGTGGAATTCCAACGACAATTCATTCAATTCTTCAGTTTCATGATGGAGTAGAAATATTCTGGATACAGGATGGAGTGCTGTACAGTTTCCAAATTTCTCGTGTCTGTTCTATGTAGTCTACAGAGTGTAAGAAGAATGAGAGAGGGAGATTTCTTGTGTCTACATGTTTTAAATTGAATACTTGTGCTAGTTCAGGATTCTGTAAGAAAAGGGAATGCTGCCTCAATAGAGTTTTATTTTATTTATTTATTTATTTATTTATTTATTTATTTATTTATTTGTCAAACATGTACAAGATTGCAGGTATAAATATGAACATGAACAAAGGAAATGAATACAAATAAATGAGGACAGTAGGACAGGGACGGTAGGCACACTGGTGCCCTTATGCATGCCCCCTTTACAGACCTCTTAGGAATGGGGTGAGGTCCTCGGTAGACAGTTTAAGGTTGAAATTGTGTGGGTTTGAGGATGTAACAATGGAGTCAGGTAGAACATTCCAGGCATTGACCACTCTGTTGCTGAAGTCGTATTTTCTGCAATCGAGTTTGGAGCAGTTTACCTTGAGTTTGCATTGTTGGCCCGTGTATTATTGAGGTTGAAGCTGAAGAAGTCATTGACAGGTAAGACATTGTAGCAGACAATTTTGTGTACTATGCTTAGATTAGACCGCAAGTGGCGCAGTTCCAGATTATCTAAGCCCAAAATTTCAAGCCTGGTGGCATAAGGGATTCTATTGCAGTAGAGGCATGGAATACTCTTCTTGTGAAATACCCACTCAATTGTATTAATGTCTGATATACAGTGTGGATTCCAGGCAGACGAGCTGTATTCGAGAATTGGTCTGGCAAAGTTTTTGTATGTCCTAGTTAGCAATACAATGTTACCGGAGAAGAAGCTTTGCAGAAGTTCAATTCCATATCTGTAGATTAAACAGTCATGAGGATATTACAGTAACCCTCATATTCTCCTTGATCATCTGACCTTGACTTTGTCTAGTGTGAAGATGTGGGCAACTCAAATCTATGCCTCTTCTCAATATCTTCAGGAAACTACCAGATTAATTGCTGAAGTTCTCCTCTTCCTTCTTACAATACAGAGAGCTGATGTGGGGGGTGGGGGGTGTCTTGTTTCATAGACAAGGGGATGAAGAACAATCTCCAAGCAGAGGAGGAAAGTATGGAGATGAAACAGAAGGACTGCATTGGCACACCTACCAACAAAGATAGGACAACTCAGCATCAGGTTGCTAAAGATAATTCAAAGGCAGAGTGGAATCAAAGTTGCAGGCAATTTGGGATATTGGTGTTTTAGTCAAATCTATCATCAAAGTTGGTTGGCACTTTAGATCAGGATTGAGGAAACAGCTATAGTGAGATGTCCAGCTTTCCCAGAGTCTGATAGCTGGAGTCAAAATATATTTGTGACCTGAGACTAGCAGCTTCATAAAAGGGATCAGGTCTGAGTGATAAAGCAAAAGGGGAGAGAGAGTTAATCCTTACTTGGATTCTTTCTGCCAACATCTCCAGACAGAGGCACTGAGTTGAAGCAGATTATTTTGAATTAGGATTTATATGGTAATGTGTGTCTTTTTAGATTCATCCTTTCCTAAAAAACTTCCAGCTTTACAATCTTTCTGGGGATAATGTTTATTTGGATGAGGAGGGAAATCCTGTTGCTGACTTGGATATCATAAACTGGGCAATGTTTCCTAACAAGTCTACAGTTGGAGTGAATATTGGGAATATAGAAAGAGAAGCCTCTTCAGAAGTCAAGGTCTCCATCAATCAGAGTGCCATCAAATGGCCAATATCATTTAACCAGGTTGTTGAGTTATCGTTGTTGTCGTCACTTTATCATTTATCTGCTTTTAATACATGGAAATTGAAGTCATGCCACTCTGATGGAGGGTCTGTGTTGAAAAATGATTGGGTTGAAAGAGACTCTCCAGTTTCTCCTCACAAAACCTCTAAGCGTGTGGGTGCCAGAATTTTTCTTGGGCAGGATGGAAATGATGTGGTTGGTTAATCCAATGCTGTTTGTAGCCTGTAAGGAAGCTAAGCAGGCAAGTAAAGCCATTTTAAAGGCAGATAGCTTCCTCCATGCTGGATCATGCTTTAAGACTTGAGATTCAGGAGATAGATGTTGGAAGAAGGCAGGGAGGGACACAACAACAAGTTACAGTGGATCAGGGGTGGTTCTACTTACCTTTACTACCAGTTCGCAATGGGATCACACATCTGCGCATGCGCAGATTGCTGATGATGACATCTGGGGTGGTGGGCAGGACCTCCCGCCAGTTTTACTAACGGTTCTTGCGAACTGGTTCGAACCAGGGGCAACCCACCACTGCAGGGATGTTGTCCTAGCAATTGCTGAGATGGGAGCAAGCAAACCTTTGCATTCCCTGCTTTGTATTACTCTCCCCACTTTTTTTTTTTTAATAATCATTGGCCATTCATGCTGAAGATGATGAGATGTGGTACCATAGCACGTGTTCAGAGTTCCATCTGAACTTTGAGTGGACTCCAGGACAAAATCATGCTGACATTCAACCTCTTTTAAAAAAGGATTATGTTTACAATACTTTGTGAACAAAGTATTTTCACTGTATTTCGAAAGAAACACTAAAATTACACCCTTGAATTTTGTAAATTGGAATCTTCTGAATTATTTACTTTTCATAAGTAATACCTCATTTGTATACTTCTCCAATTTTATGTTTAGAAGGTGCCTTTTTCTAGGTGTACTAAAAGTTGTCTCCCAGGATACAGCAAGGTGATGAGAGAGGGAGCACCAGTTTGCTGCTACGACTGCTCCTCATGCATTGAAGGAACAATTTCCAGACAGGAAGGTAGGTGGCTCAAGAGCAATACCATACAAGTATAAACCAGATCTGACCCTGCTTAGCTCCCAAACTGAATCAAGTGTGTTAAATGCTGCCAGATAATGAGGGAGGTAACTTACTTGTGACCTATCAAACTCTTTCTCCCTCAAAATGCGCCATCATCCAGATAATTGTGGATGCATATGTGTTCCTAAGACCAGGTATTTGCTCTTTCTTGTGATTATTGAAATACATTCTATCAACATAAGACCATTTTTTTTAAATTATAGAAAATTTATGACTAGGCAAAACATAGAAATCATTTAGGTACGGAATTGGCAGCATAAAGACAGAACCGAGAATAAATAATTATTGTTCTACCTATACTTCACTGTCTCCTTACACAGCAATTACTTATTTTTCTCAGATGCAGCCCATTGTGAAAAGTGTCCAGATGACCAGTATTCCAATAAGAAACGAGATCAGTGTGTCCCCAAAAATATAAGCTTCTTATCCTATCAAGAATTGCTGGGACTCATCCTGGCTTTCTTTGCCATCACTTTGTCCCTAACCACCGCCTTTATTCTGGGAATCTTCATGAAATACCGAGACACTCCCATAGTCAAAGCCAATAATTGTGAACTCACCTACATCCTCCTGGTTTCACTCCTGCTTTCTTTCTTGACCTCCCTTCTATTCATCGGTCGCCCCATGAAAATGACTTGTCTCCTTCGACAAACCATTTTCAGTGTTGTTTTCTCAGTTGCTGTGTCTTCCTTGCTGGCCAAGACTGTCATGGTGGTGGTGGCCTTTCTGGCTACAAAGCCAGGCAGCAGCATGAGGAAATGGCTGGGGAAGAATCTGGCCAACTCTGTTGTTTTATCCTGCTCTGGTATTCAAGTAGGCCTCTGTATGATGTGGCTGGGAGTCTTTCCCCCATTCCCAGATTCTGACTTTCATTCCCAATCAGAACACATCCTGCTGCAGTGCAATGAAGGCTCTGTCACCATGTTCTACTCTGCTCTTGGCTACATGGGTTTTTTGGCTGCCATCTGTTTCTTGGCGGCATTTCTGGCTCGGAATCTGCCAGGGGCTTTTAATGAAGCCAAACTGATCACCTTCAGCATGTTGGTTTTTTGTAGCGTTTGGATCTCCTTTGTTCCCACATATCTGAGCACCAAGGGGAAATACATGGTGGCTGTGCAGATCTTCTCCATCCTGGCCTCTGGCCTGGGTTTACTGGGCTGCATCTTTATCCCCAAATGCTACATTATTATCCTGAGACCTGCAATGAACACCAAAGAACATCTGATGATAAAAAATCATTAAGGTTCCTTGTGTTGCTTTTTATTTTTGTATAGTTTACATGCAGCATAAAATCGCATACTTTGAAGTAATTTTGTATGTGTTGTTGCTTATCTTTCTTTATTCCATGTGAATTTTGAATTATAATAATTGAGTAGTAAAGTTGCTAAAACAACTCAAACTATTTGAAATAATCATATCCTTCAATTGTCCTAATCTGAATTCATATTATGACATTAATAAAATTTCTGAAACCAGGCCAGATAAACTGTGACCAGAGATGTTCTGATATGGTTTTAGATTAAATTAAAGACTATGGCTAATGATGATGTGTTTTTGTTACTATATAGGTTGGTGTGCTGGTGTTAGATTTTATTTTTCTGGGGTGATGTTCTGACTTTGTTTTAAAAAATAGTTAATTTTGGACTTCCGGTTGGCGACTCATGGCAGCATGGCGCTGTGAGGGAGATAGCTGCTCCACAACGCCACTTTTACGCTGCATATTGGGGACCCTTTGAGGCGTGGAAGCTTGGAGAGCTTTGCGGACAATAGCGGGATTTCGGCAAGCAGAGTGGTGAGAAGCAAGCACTCTCTGCTGGACCGATTGCCGCTGTCAAACCAACGCGGTGCGTCTGCCTCTTAATGGTGGACCTATAGCTGCGATAGCCAACAAAGACGGGAAGCAAGGCATTTCGGTGAAGTCGGTATTGGGAAAGTGCTCGTACCTACTCTCCCTTGAGCACGTTGCAATTGAAATTGGCAAAATTAGATCGGCTGGGTCGGACGAAAAGGATCCACAGAAGGAAGCAAGCGGCGACTGCAAGTGAAGGCTTAGATCGGATTGGCGTATGGTCACAGGCAAGCCGATGAGAAATAAACAACAAAGAAAGTGGCAAAGCGCAGCGGAGGCGTTATTAGAGAATGGGAGGTGATATAAACAGATCTATTGGGGAATTGAGGTGCTTTCGTTTCTGGAGATCGTCTTGAAGATTGGATTGATAAAGAAGTGGGAGACCGGAAACGCGGCCATTGCTAGGGACAGTAACAAGATCTTCGAGTGTACAGAGAGGGAGGGAGGAGCATCAAGCATCAAGGAAAAATAATCTTTGAAATACTCTGACAATAATAGAATCCAATCTTTAAAGACTGTCATGAACTGACCCCAGGGAAAGAAGTTTCTAAATCATATAGGAAGTAAAGTATTTTTGTGAAATTTGATTTATTTTGAACACTGCTGCACACCTTCCTCTGGTGATTAGCGAAGACATTGAGTTCAATTAATTAATTAATCAATTTATGAGGGATATTTAATCAAATTGTCATATATACTTGCATATTCATATATTTATAACTACATATATTAGAGTAACTTATCTGTATAGATTTATATAGGATTGGTTATATATAGTGATATAATTTTTTTCTCTTTTTAAATTAATTCTTCTTTGCTATTTAGACTATTTATTACTAATAATTAATTGTGATATTAAGTAATATTAGAGCATAAATTAATTAACTAATTAATCAACTACCTATCTATTTATATATACACTGTAAAAAATTATATATTAGAATAATTCTATTGATTTAAATTGATTGAATGACAAATAGGGATATTTGCTTTTATAGCTGATTAATTATTATTTGTATTTATTGATTGTGGGATACTTGCAATAGTCAGACTCTATGAACTGTGGAAATTAATGTGAATAGAATAGAATACGCATAAGATAACTAATGATAATAGGATATTCGGAATTGAATTAGTGGTAAATCAAATTAAATATTAGATCTTAGAGGGGTAAATATTTAATGCCCTCAGCAACACAGTAATATAGAGAAGATAATGCCAAATTAAGGGGGGGGAAGGATAACCATTGGATGATAATTTGGAGAAATATCGAAAAGATCGTGAGAGATCAGAAAAAGTTGTTGAAGGAAATGACAACTCTTTCATCTACTGCGCTCAAAATGGGGAAGAAGACAGCCTCTAATACTACAATAACGATGACATCACCGGCAATGCAGAAATCGACTGAAGGATTGTCGAAAATAGAAAAATCAGCTATGATTCCTACTATGCAAGCGATGCAAGCGACACTTACAGCGATACAAGACACTATGATTATGATGCAAGAGAAGATGTCTAGTAACCACATCGAGCTGAAAACAAACATTAGAGTTATTGACCAAAAAGTAAATGACATACAAGAGTCAATACAAATTAATGAACAGAAGATAAATAAGATGGAATCCAAAATTGAGCAAAACGAAAGGAATTTAGAAATAGAAGATCAGAAGCTGATGGCACAGAATAGGGAGTTGGAGGATTCAATCACCCAATTGGAAATGGACAGAGCCTCCTTCTATTTGCGTTTCCAGAACATCGCTGAAGATAAGGAAGAAGATCTGGGCCAAGTGATGGCGGAATTAATAGCTGAGGTTCTGCAACAGGATAAAACAAGATATAATTAAAGAATTGGATGAGGTGTACATAGTGCAGACCAATTACGCCAGGAGAAATAAATTGCCCAGAGAAGTGCACATAAGATTTGCACGGAAGAAAGTTAAAGACATTTTCTATAGTGCGGTGAGGGAAGAACCGGTGATGTATAAAGGAAAGGAAGTCATCATATTAAAGCAAGTCCCAAGGAGGGTGAGGGAATCAAGAAGAGATTACAGATTCCTTGCCATCCATCTGAACAAGAGGAGTATCCTCTTCAGATGGATACTGCCGGAAGGCATGTTGATTACATGGCAGGGAAAGAAAATCAAAATAGACAGCCTGGTAGCAGCTCAAGACTTCTTGGATCAGCTAAGAGGGACAGAGGAAGATCAAAGCAGCAAGGAGGAATTGGAGGCCACAACACAAGATAAGGAAATTATTCAGCAGAGGAGATCAAAAGAAGGAACTCCAGAGGAGAAGGAGATGGAGGATAAGGAAAGTAAGGAGGCAAAGAAGAAGCAAAGGCCACAAAGAATTACATGAGCGAATAAGAACTAAGACAACTCCAAAGATATAAGAGATGGAAGATTGGAAATTAATATCGATCAATGTTAATGGTTTGAATGATAATAAAAAGAGGATTTTTTTTTTATTAAATTAGCTAAAGAAAATGCGGATATAATATGTCTCCAAGAGGTTCATATAAAAAAAGAAGATGAAAAGTATCTGGAATATAATAAACTGGGAAAAATTTTCAACTCCCTAGCTGAGAAAAAAAAGGGGGTGTGTGGCACTATATATTAAAAAAGAAATAGCAGCAGAATTAAAGTACGCAGATCTCAAGGGCAGAATTGTGGCAGTGGAAATTAAGAGAGGCAATTCATCAATACTATTAATAGCTATCTACGCCCCGAATGAAAACTTGGGGGAATTTTATAAAAAACTAAGGGAGAGAATAAGTAAAATGGATAATAGCAATAATTGTATAATTGGCGATTTTAATGGAGTAGCAGATTCAGACAAAGACCACAAAAGCATTAAAGATAAAAAAAGGAAAAGGAAAAACCTACCAAAAACCTTCTTTGATCTAGCAGAGGAATTTAATTTAGTAGACATCTGGCGAACACTGCACCCAAATAAAAAACAATATACGTTCTATTCTAACCCTAAAAAATCATGGTCAAGAATTGATATGATGTGGGTAAGCAGGAACATAGGGATGGAAATTATGCCAGCAGAAATCACACCCAATGTCTGGGCAGACCACAACCCACTAGAAATTAGATGGAAAAACCTCTATAAAAGAGGAAATAAGAGATGGAGACTAATTTTACAATTCCTGAGAGATAAGCAAAATATTGCTAAAGTAAAGGGAGAACTAAAATCCTTTTTTGAGGAGAATGAAAAGGAGCCAACTGCCTGAGGAATAATATGGGATGCAATGAAGGCGTACTTGAGAGGCCTGGCAATATCTTATGGGTCACACAAGAACAAATCACCTGGCCCAGATGGATTCCCAGGAGAATTATACAAAAACCCAGATATAGAGGAAATTCTCCTACCAAAACTGTTAGAAATATACAATGAGGCCCTGACAAAATCCAAAATACCGGAATCATGGTGGGAGGTATACAATACACTCCTCCAAAAAGAAGGTGCAGATCAAAAATTGATAAAAAATTATAGACCTATCTCACTTCTCAATACGGACTATAAGATCTATATGAGTGTTATAGCAGGAAGGTTAAAGATAATCTTGAATAAATTGATACATAGCGACCAAAATGGATTCCTTCCTGGGAGACAGATAAGAAACAACACAAGGAGACATATAAGATTCAGGCATTTGCCGATGATGTGGCCCTTATTATGGAGGAGCCATTAGAAACAGGCGTTAAAATACTGGAAGAATTAGGTAAATATGGAGAGGTAGCTGGCCTTAAAAAACTAAATAAAACCAAAACCAAACTGCTAACCAAAAATATGACTGAGGAACGAAAGAAAGCACTTGAAGAAGCAATGGGGCTCCAAATAGCCAAGAAGGTAAAATATCTGGGGGTGTGGATATCGGCAAGGTGTTCGGCCCTTAAGGAAGACAATTACGTGCCCTTAATTAGAAATATTAAACAGGACCTAGAAAAGTGGGGAAAGCTCCAGATATCATTTTTAGGTAGGATCGCAGCAATAAAAATGAGTGTATTACCAAAGTTGCTATACCTGTTCCAAACTGCCCCTATTAAATTGGACAAAAAATTCTTCTTGGAACTTAATTCTATCACAAGAAAATTTATCTGGGGCGGGAAAAAACCTAGGATTGCGATAAGAAATCTGCAAGATAAAAAGGATAGAGGTGGGCTCGGACTCCCAGTATGGGAAATGTACCACAAAGCAGCGAATTTGGTCTGGTTGAAAGAGTGGGCAACTCTGGAAAATAAAAGACTCCTGATCCTGGAAGGACATGATCTACAGAGGGGCTGGCATGCCTTCCTCTGGGACATAGGGAAAAGAGCGAGGACATATTTTCATAGTCATAAAATAAGGGATACACTAATACAGACATCGGGCGAAATAAGACGGAAACAATATACAAAAGTCCCGAGATGGCTCTCCACAATGGAGGCCATGATATATCCTAACTTATTGGAATTGGGGAAAATGGTCAAATATAAAGAGATATTAGATGGGGGAGGAAACCTTAAAACAAATGAAGAGCTGGAAGAACAGGGCATCCACATTGATTGGTGGCCGTATGCACAAATAAAGTCCCAGTACAAAAAGGACAAAGAGGAATTTGGCATTGAGATAGGTATGAACGGATTCGATAAGATATGGATGGGAACAGATAACAAAATATTAGCGAAATTATACAACT